CATAATTAAAACGGCATCATGTATCTTTTGATTATAATTATTAAGGTACATGAATAAGCAGTATTTCTCAGATTTGTTGTCTTCTATGCGATTTTAGACAATATATCCAATACATCTGATCATTGTAGAGTAATTCCTTCACATCTGTATTACAGAAGACACTGGTCTTAATTTGCATGTCAAATAGGTGATTATAATAGCATCATATTCTAGACAAGTGGGTTATTCATTCCTTCTTGCAGTTGTTCAATGATATTTTGCTACTTGTTTAATTCAACATTGAGAGCCTTTTCCTCTTATTGAGTTATGGTCTATTTTATTTAATATTTTCATTTGTTGGATTTTCAGTCTAGCTCTTTTATTAGGTCTTTACAGAAGATGTAAAACTAGAAAAATTACAAGGAGTGCCTACTGTGTGCAAACAAAACATTCCCAGTCCAAATATGACTCTGACATGAAATCATAAACATTTGCAAAGATAATTTGTAACTGACACCTCTGCTTCTTGCATAGCATTCAACTGGGGCCTCCTTGGTCTTTTCAAAACCGGACTCTGCCAGCTGCCAGCTGCAGTGCACTGATTTTAATTTAGAAGAAAAGCTGCTTCTTGTTTGGACATCACTGTTTTTTTGTTTGTTTGTTTTTGCTTTAAAAAAAAAATACCCCCAGAGAAAAAAGTTGAGACCTAATCAGAACAGCTCCAATAAAAGATTTTCTACTACATTTGACAGAGAATTGTAACTCTGAGAATAACTGAATTTGGGTAGCCTGGACACATCGAACCCTAGAACTTTTTTTTTTTTACATTGAGGTACAATATATATAACATAAAATTTGCCATTTTAACAATTTTTAGGTATACAAGTCAGTGGCATTAAGTACAACCATGACCACTAATGATTTTCAAAATTTATCCTTCCATTAAGAAACGCTGTGCCTGATACCGTTGTAATTATCTGGTTATTATTTAACAGGATAGGAGTAAAGGAGGACTAGATAATATAGGCATGCCATTTATACAGCTTTGCTAATTTAACACTCTCCAAGTCTGTTCCTGCTGATTGACGGGGAAGGGACTGGACAAAGGCAGTTTGGACGCATGCCCAGTAAGGTCTGAGTGATGTGAGAAGGTGTCTACCTGTCTGTCAGTCACACCTTGAAGCTAGAATAGGCATGGCCACTGCAAGGGCGCAAAACCTGAACATGTGAACTTCTGAACAAAGCAAGTACCCTCTCTCTCACACACAGGGCTCTTGGCTCTTGCCTCTCCTGCTTGCCTGTGCCCTGTGACTCCTGCTGCAGAGGGCATGCTCCCTGCACTCGCCCATGTGGCTCATGGCCGGGGGGACCCACACAGTGGACTGATAGACTGAATTTGAACTGAGGCTGAATTGGACCCGGCTGCAACATGAAAGAAAGCTCTGAACATGGGCTCTCCTTTTGGCTCTGCTGGACTCCCAGCTGTACCTTTTTCAGGACTGGGTTAAGGGACATAGGACTTTATAACGCAAGGAATAAAACTCCACACAAATAAAGCCTTTTATCACATCTCAGTCTTCCATGGGGGCTTCTGAAAATGCTTATTTCAGTGGTACCCCAAGAAACACACTTCTACCTACTCGTGTCTGAGAAATCGGGCCCATTAATTCCTCCAGCAGCAAAACCATTAAGCAAAACTCATATTCCACCCTCCTCAATCCCTAGTAGCACTAATTTACTTTCTCTTCCCAAGAATTTGCCGTTTCTAGATATTTTATATAAGTGGAATCACAGAATATTTGTCCTTTGTGTTTGGCTTACTTCTATTTAAAATAATGTTTTCCAGGTTCATCCAGGTTGTAGCATAAATCAGAACTTCACTCTTTTTTATGGCCGAATAATACAGTGTGACAAAAGCAGGTTTACAGTTGTTCATATGGAAAACAATGCAATAATTAATACCTAATAATATGAGAATAAACTCTGTTTTGCATATTCACAACTATAAACCTATTATTGTCCCAGCCTGTATATTGTATATATATACCACATTTTGTTTATTCATTCAACTATTGATAGACACTTGTATTGTTTCCACCCTTTGACTACTATTAATAATGCTGCTATGAACAATGGCATACAAGTATCTGTTTGAGCTCTTGTTTTCCATTTTTTTGGGTATTTACCTACAAGTGAAATTGCTGGCATATGATAATTCTATGTTTGCATTTTGAAGGAATTGCCAAATTGTTAAACTATTTCTACAGAAGTTGCATCATTTTACATTCCCCGCAGCCATGCATAGGGTATGGGGGAGGTTCTAATTTCTCCACATCCTTGCCAATACTTGGGTGTGAAGTAATACCTTACTGTGGTTTTGGTTTGCATTTCCCTAATGTTAGGTATATTTTCATGTGCTTTTTGGTCATTTATGTATCATCTTCAAAGAAATGTCTAAAATGTCTAAATATATGCCCATTTAAAATTTGTTGTCTTTCTGTTGTTGAGTTGTAGGAGTTGTAAATAGATATATAACTGATCTTTGTGTGTTGATGTCATATTCTGATATCAGATATATGATTTACAAATATTCTCTCCCATTTTGTGGGTGACAAGGATTGCTGGCTACCATCAGAGGATGGAACAGCCTATGAGAGATTCCACCCAGAGTCGCAGAGGGAGCATGGTTCTACTGACATCTTGATTTCAGACTTGTAGCCTCCAGAACTATGAGAGAATAAATTTCTGTTGTTTTAAGCCACCCAGTTGGTGTTACCTTTTACCATAGTCCTGAGAAATGAACACATGTTCCAACTTTGATACCTTTTATTTCTTTGTCTTGCCTAATTGCTCTGGCTAGGATTAACAGCAATCCTTTCAAACTCTTGCAACACACTTAAGAGGTGGGATGACTTCCTCATGCTATGAGGCCAGCATAATACTTACTAGTATGCCAAAGCAGACACAGACCCAACAAGGCTTCAGACAAGTACCCCCAGTATTTACTGATGCAAAAATCCTCAACAATATACTAGCAATCTGAATTTAAGAGCATATTAAAAGGATTATACACCATGACTAAGTGGGATTTATGCTAGGAATGCAAGGATAGTTAAACATATGAAAATCAATCAATATAGTATATCACATTCATAGAAAGAAGAGGAAAACTCACAATCATCTCAGTTGATGCAGAAAAGATATTTGAAAAAATTCAACACCACTTCTTGATCAAAATATTCAATAAACCAACATGGAGAAAAAAAATTTCTAAAAAATGATAAAAGCTACATATGAAAAAGTCCAACTAACAATACTCAATGGTGAAAAACTGAAAGCTTTTCCCCTAAGGTCAGGAAGAAGACAAGAAGGCCTGCTTTTGCAACTTTTACTCAACAGAGTACAGTTCCTACTTGCTGATCTTTCCACAGAGGAACAGGATAGATCTGCCTATTCTGCCATTTTGCTGGTGTTACTCTCAAACGCTAGAACTTTTATACTATCATCATCTGTAAAATTGTACTTAAAATTCAGATATATGCAAATAATAGCACTGGAAAATAAAATTAATCATTAGCTAACAAATCACATCAAAATAATTTAGATACCATGGCTTTAGTTCTAAATTAAAAGATGTTTTCATTTACATAAAATTGTACATTAATCATTAGTTATACTGTGTTTCTCTCAGTATGTTTAGATTGTTCCCTGTCAGACTCTAGATATATAAAAGAGAGGTGAGAGATTCATGATTTTTTACTAATCATCAATGAAACTTGAAGGATGACTTTCATTTAGTGTCAAAACTCAATATTACCATTAGCCCTTTATTTGTGAGACAAAAATGGCCTATGTCCAAAAGTATTAAAGTTCTCATCTGACTACATTTCCAGTGTTCACATTTCTGGATTATTCTGTTTATTCAGACATAAAGGAATGCACATATTAGAGGGGGATATTGTATCTTCACTGCTAATTCCTTTGAGGAAGAAAATTTTCTAAGTATATTACTAACCTTTCTTTTTGTCTATTTTCTCTGCTCTGGGAAGTGGAGTGATGGGTAAATCTGGGAAGGCTCAGTCCTGCCCTTCTTTCTCTTGGGAATGAGCTGCCTGCAGGGAGAAAAACACCTCTTCGACTTTCCCAGGAGCAGATTCTCCCCTCCCTTTAGAAAAAGGGTTGTCCTGGTTTAGTGTTGCCTACATCTAGATGTGTTCTCTAATTCTGGAGGCTTTGTGAGCAGGCCCATTTGGCTCTCATATTAAACTATATTCTCCAACTTGCCTTTTATAAAGGTTTTTTTTTTTTTTTGGATTACTATCCAAAGTTAAATCTCCTCTGTCACCATATATTTGACCTCCTTTACCCTTTACTACCACAATGTAACAGACAGATGACATATTATAGAATTGTACACATGAAACCTATATAATTTTATTAACCAATGTCACCCCAATACATTTAATAAAAAATGAAGGTGGTATCTTTGACCTTCACATTCTTTGTTTTATTTTTTAGTTTGTTTAGAACATAGTCGGGGAGAGGGAAGTCGTTTTGCTTCACTTACTCCTCCTATCTAAAGTTGGTATCCTTCCTGAATTCTCTATCATCAAAAAGCTTTGAGCCTATAGTAAACAAAGCTGAAAATCCAACAAAGTCCACCAAGAGCTTTCTGAATCTTTAATCAAGCTCCTATGTTTTTCTCCAATCAAAGGAATTGAGACGACTTCTTTGCAATTTCAGAAAGTAGTTTTTTCTTTAAAGAACACCTTAGGCTATTAGGTTATCATTTGGATCTTTCTAAACTTACTATTGAACCTGATGTTGCACACTGAGGAAGAAAGCTTGAATCCTTTTACTGGGAAAAGGCTGACAAACTCTTCTATGTAAGAATATAGGTAGATCTTCAAAGTTCATTTGATATGTAATCTACTCCTGAAGAAATAAACTTTTAGACAATCTGTTCTACTAGGCAGGTAAATAACTTATTCTGCACACATGACATTTCTGAGTACACTTACCTCTGCTGTGTACTTGGCAGAATTCCCCACGATGACAATGACCTTTCCTTTGAAGCTTTGGAGCATAGCGGTGTGAGGGCCCTGGGTAAGTTCCCCTTCTGCGGTGAATGCAGTGCTGAATGGAATGTTGATGCTGCCTGAAATGTGACCCCGAATAAAACTGAGAAGGGAAGTTTAAGGAAAACACTTATTTGTGTGCAGACTTAGAGAGAGGGGGGGCGGGGTAATTGATTCCCAGAAGATAGTACCATAAAAATCAAACACAGAGACCAGACTTGAAAATTCCTGGAGTGGACAAAACCGGTTTAGTCATACGAGTAAAGTTTAATTTAGCTTAATTTCCAAGACAAGCAAGGCTGACTTGACCTGGTTCACATCTTGCCTATGCCTCTGAAAATCATAAGTGAAACTCAATTTGTTCCCCCAAATTGATAGGAAGTAACCGCTAACCAATTCCCTTTCATTTAAGAAAATTCGAATACTGTGACCAATAAACAGTCATTGCCTCCACACTGTATAAGCTGGATTATGACACTATGCCTCTGAGCCTTATTTGATGTTTTGGTTTGAGTGTTCTTGGTTTGCAAATTGTCTCTTTGGTATGTGCACAATAAACTGTTACTAATTACTACTTTGGTGATTCATTGGCTTTATTTATGAATTCTTGACAGTTCTAAACATCTTCCATGCTCACATGAGTACTTTATCTAAATGAAATAAGGCACCTCTAAGGAAAAAAAAAGTTAAATGTGAAAATGTAATGGAAAAGAGAAAGGAAGATGACTGGCCAAAGATGTAAAGAATTTCCTGACTAAATGAAGCATTGTGAAAGTGGTCCGGATGCAGCAAATCAATGGCAATTGCATGGGCCACATAATAATCATGCCTTTAAGTTCATTACTACTACTATGATTACTCCTAAGCTCTGAAAGTAATATAGCCAAGCAGACATTCCCAGATATAATTTGATACTGCAAAAGTCTATCTCCTTTGGGTAAGCGATTGCTAAATGGGACTCTATTTAGAATTGTTAAGGTCAACAGCACTGGTTGGAAACAGTTCTGTTGTTGGTTTATTTCTCAAGTAAATTTAGCCGACATTTCCACTCTTCAATTTTATGGTCTCTAAAGGGACTGATGCTTATTATATTTGCACTTTGGCAGGGTTCTGATGGTTTCATTGACTATAAATTTTATTTTTGGAATAAAAAGCATCTATTAGCTTAAAATATTTAGAAATACCTTAAGATCTTAAAGAAAAAATATATGCCCTCCTCAGTAAGTAAAAAGTACAATTAAAAAAGTACAACTAAAAGATGATTATCTATATAGAGTCTATAGAGAAAGACATTCTTAAATATTATTATCTGTTGAATAACTATTCACATAAATAAAACAACTGTAAAAACAGGTCTAAAGGAGATATATATGATGCTTTGGTAGAATATGTCCATTTGGAGAGGACAGGGTAAGTTTTCACTGAGAAAGTAAGTGATGGCCGAGTTAAAATTTGAAGAATTAATAAAAGTTATTTAGGTAAAGAAATGGAATGGAGACAGAAGAAATTTGAGGCTCTTATTCTCAAGAAAGATGGTGCACACTGACCACATACTTTACATTTAAAATATTTTAGTCAGCTGCTTCTTCCTCATTTTTCCTTTAAAGAACATTTGGCATTAATAAAGAACTATTAAAAAGTTCTGAAAATGAAAAGAAAGATAGAACATCAGTATCTCATTGTTTAGAGTCTTCTAGAAAGGACAAAGAATTCATGATCATTGGCAGATCTTCCTTGGTTTTTATCAGTACTACTCTCTCAAACATTTACAATTATCCAATGTTCTCAATTTCAGTTTTCATGACCAGTAATGACTTTGTTCTCAGCATGTCATTAGTCTGATAGCATTTTTATTGTCAGTAAGAACATACCTTAAAATGAAAATTTTTGATAACACAAAGAACCTAATGACTCAAATATTATTTGCAAATGTATATACATCTACCAAACTGAATCAGTTGCTAGATATTTTATTTATCAAAAAGCCTTTAGCCCTTATCAACCATGAATGCTTTTTTTTTTTTTAAGTGTTTTTATAGTAGCAAAAGCAATACAAACCTATCTTGGTCAAATACTATAGCAGACATGTTTGAGTTGCCTGCCCACCCCCCATTCTCTTGCTGAAAGGGCCTCAACTACTGACCCTGATGAAAGGGTGAGCCCTCAGCTGTCATGTTTGTATCAGATGATCCTCCCAGATCATGATTGACAGCATAGTAGGGAGAGAGAAGTGAAGGGTTATCTGATGCAGGCTGAGCCAATCAGGTTCTCTCCTTTGAAAATCAGAAATAAAGATAAAATACAATGTTCAGACTATACTAAGCTTTATAAGCTAATGTCACATTTGAGTGTCTTCTATATACAACTTGTTCAGCAACATTTTAGAAAATCGGTGACTATGGAATAATCTACTTATATAAAAACCCTGGATGTAACATCATGTCCCAAAGCTCGACCAACTGGAAGGCAGTCAGTCCTGCAGGGGTCGTCTTGGAAACGGCTTCACCCTCCCCCAGCTGTTTCCTGGAGGGCGAGGTTTCAGGCAGGAACCCACCCTTGGAGCAGAGTGTGGAAGTACTGAGTCCTGGGTTGCCTTGCTAAGGGCTGTGCCCTCCCCGAGCTGTTTCCCATGAGGCCTGAGGGAAGAACCCACCCTCGGAGTGCCAGGAGCGCCCAGCAGCAGTCAGTCCTGGGTTGCTGAGGCGGAGGCCACAGCATGGTAGAACTCTGGGTCTGGCCCAATAGGGGGCGTGGCCAGCCTTCAAACCAGACCCTGACAAGGGGGAGGAGGCAGCCCCATTCCTCATAGAATCTGCTGTTGGATAGCTTGCTGTCAGTGGCCTACCAGCCAGGAACCCCATTCACCTGCACCCCGGACCCTGACAGGAGGGAGGAGGGAGCCCTATTCCTCATGTAATCAACAGATGGCCAGCTTGCTGTCAGGGGCCTGGCAGCTAGGAATCCTATTCACCTGCATATCTGTATAAAGTTTTAATACATTATATTAGAGGTCATGGTGGTACTGTTTTACCCACAGTGTCTACAGGAATTGCTACAAATTTACTTCTCAGTGGAAGCACCTTTCATTCCCAATATAAATTACCCATTCCATTAAATGAAACTTCCATTTCTAGACTCAATATAAAGAGCGAAGTTGCTAAAACTATTAAAAAGGTCCAACTTCTCATTATTGATGAATGCACCATGGCATCCAGTCATACTATGAATGCCATAGACAGATTACTAAGAGAAATTATGAGTCTGAATGTTGTATTTGGTGGGAAAGTTCTTCTTCTTGGAGGGGATTTTTGACAATGTCTCAGTATTGTGCCATATGCTATGTGATAGGCCATAGTACAAACGAGTTTAAAGTACTGCAATGTTTGGGGATGTTTCAGAAAGTTGTCTCTTACAACAAATATGAGATCAGAGGATTCTGCTTATAGTGGATGGTTAGTAAAACTTGGAGATGGCAAACTTGATAGCAGTTTTCATTTAGGAATGGATATTACTGAAATCCCCTGTGAAATGATTTGTAATGGATCTAATATTGAAGCTACCTTTGGAAATACTATATCTATAGATAATATTAAAAATATATCTAAACGTGCAATTCTTTGTCCAAAAAATGAGCATGTTCAAAAATTAAATGAAGAAATTTTGGATATACTTGATGGAGATTTTCACACATATTTGAGTGATGATTCCATTGATTCCACAGATGATGTTGAAAAGGAAAATTTTCCCATAGAATTTCTTAATAGTATTACTCCTTCGGGAATGCTGTGTCATAAATTAAAATTGAAAGTGGGTGCAATCATCATGCTATTGAGAAATCTCAATAGTAAATGGAGACTTTGTAATGGTACCAGATTTATTATCAAAAGATTACGACCTAACATTATCGAAGCTGAAGTATTAACAGGATCTGCAGAGGGAGAGGCTGTTCTGATTCCAAGAATTAATTTGTCCCCATCTGACACTGGCCTCCAATTTAAATTGATTCGATGACGGTTTCCGGTGATGCCAGCATTTGTGATGACTATTGATAAATCACAAGGACAAACTCTAGACAGAGTAGGCATATTCCTACCTGAACCTGTTTTCGCACATGGTCAGTTATATGTTGCTTTCTCTCGAGTTTGAAGAGCATGTGATGTTACAGTTAAAGTTCTAAATACTTCATCACAAGGGAAATTAGTCAAGCACTCTGAAAGTGTTTTCACTCTTAATGTGGTGTACAGAGAGATATTAGAATAAGTTGAATCACTTTATCAGTCATTGCATCACTGTTGTTTTTATATCATGTTTTTGTTGTTTTCATATGTTTTTGTCGTTTTTTATCATGCCTCTGTTGTTGTTATATCCTTTTGTTACTGTTTATTAATAAATTTATATATTATTTTCATATACATTTTACTAATTTCCTTTCATCTCTCACACTTCTATTATAGAGAAAGGGCAAGTAGAAAAATTAAAATATCTCCCCTAATTAATTCCCTTTTAATGTGCACGAATTTCATGCACCGGGCTACTAGTAGTAGCTATAAAAACATCTGGTTATTATAGCAGTCATCTGGTCAGGTGTTTTAGAATAGAGCTGTTTACTACTCTGATAGTACTCTGTGATTGGCAAACATTTTTCTCTGGTAACTGGTGACTTTATCCTGTTGCAGTAAGCTGTTTCCTTCCCCCAAAACATACCACTCTGCTCAACATTCCATTTGGCAGACATTACCAAAGCATTCAAGAGTGTGCTTATAACAAAGATACATTTTCACATTAAACAAAATTTGGTAACCCAATATACAACGAAACCAGAAAAAGTAATTAGATTTTTTTACAACTAATTATTAGAACAGTATTAACAGGTAAGGATGATGGGCACTGTTTTCTCAGTTTCTGAAACATGAAGATTTTTCTGTATTCCTAAGTCAGTCTCCAAAACAATACTGCCAATACATGCACTATACTTTAATCAAGCAGATAGAATAAATAGCAGTTTTAAAAATAATACAGGTATATTGTATAGGTAAATTACATAGGTAAATGTTCATATTCTAGAAAGTTCCTTTACTTTACAAAAATATTTTAAAATTCCTTTAACATATTTGATGGCTCAAAAGTGAACACAGAAAGCATCTTATGTTTTTCTAAATCCTAAAAGAACACAGCATTTTTGTTGCGTACCACACTTAGTGACATTATATCTCTCTATCCAGAGCATACCAGCATTTCACCAGACCACTTATGAAGGTATCACACCTTTATATTAACTTGTTTGTTGCCATGTTAACTAATTATAATTAGTTAAACAGAGCCAGCCCGAAGTAAAGGCTACACCTTTAGAATATCAATAGATACAAGGGAATATGGAATTAAACCCATGCCTTTCTCATATATAATGCAACTAAACAGCATTAATTGATGTAAAAGTTACATCTTTAGATAGCATCATTTTTCCTTGCTAAATCTATTGCTGCTTTCTTTGAATGGCATCACCGTCTCCCATATCAGTCTAAAACTTCATTTTTGACATCTCGCCAGTGGCAACATCTAACATCCTGTTGCACTAATAAATCCAATCCTCCTGTCTCTCTATTCCCATTACCACTTACTTGCCTATTTCAGACACTCATTACCTTGAGCTTAGACTATTGCATCAGATTTCTGTTTTTACCCCCAATTCTCATTTTGCCACTTGGAAATCCGTTTTATTGGATTAAAAATTAAAAAACAAAGTTCTGATGATCACCCCTGTTGAACAACCTTCCCTGGAGACCTATAAAACAAAGCTCAGATTTCTCAGTTCAGCCCTCATGAATAGGACCTAACTACTTCAGTTCCCACCAAACTGAATCACATACTGTTTCCAGTATATGTCTTACCAAGCTCCTATAGTTTTCTCTTCCTAAATGCCTTTTTCCTTATTTCTGAGTGTTCAAATATTAATCATTCTTTAGGATTCCTTCATGAAAGTTTCTCTACCCACAGTGTCTATATACTTCTCATGACATTATTTAGATCTTGTCTAAAACATACTAATGTACATGGCTTCCATCAAGACTTAAAACAATTTATAGGAAGGATCTATTTTTATCACATCTACGAAACTCTTACAATGCTGAATATAGTGCCTAGAACATACTAGTATCTTACATATCTACTGAGTAACTAAGTTTCAGAATTGTGCCAAACCTAGAATATGTGTCAGTGGCAAATATGTTAAATGCCTCCGGTCCCTCCTAGCTAGTGGCACCACTACCTATCAATACTTGAAGTGCCACGATAAATAATTCTCCTTTGTCAATACACAGGATAAGAAAGGGAAAGAAACAGTAACAAAAATTATCTCTCTGGATTTTCTCCAGCATAGGTACTAACCCAAAGGGCCCAATACAATTGGTTTATTTTAGGGTACATCTAGAATCCTCACTCTTTGTGCTGTGAATATGAAGGGATGTTTATGTACATCCAATCTCTGGGCGATTCCATTCTTCTAGTTTTGCCTGGACAGGACCTCCTCTCTCATCCTTCCTCCACTTACCTGGTCAAAATTCTTTAATACTTTCTTATAGCCTTTGGAATACAATCCAAACTTTTTATGCAACATTCTTCAGGAAGCTGCCTTTGCCTACTCTGGTCGCATTTCCCATCCTCATATATTCCAACCACGCACATCCAGAGTACTTGTAATTCACTGAATGTGTCCTTCTCACACCCTGTGCACCCAGACAGTATGTGTTTTCAGTCTGAAATGTCCTCTCTCTTCACCAATGGGAAGACCTACCTCAGGCACCATCTGGCTTAGGTGATCATCCTTATAATCCCATGGCCTTCTGGGTATGCCTCAGACATAGACATTTCAGGCTGTATTATAATTATCTATTTAATGTGTCTGTCTTAGTCACAAGACTGTGAGCTCCTAGTGGACCGGGGTTCTCCATTGCTGGGCAAAGTAGTCCTCAAACAGGATGAACTGGCTGAGTAAATGAGACTGCATGGCATTCAGGACTTGGGTCTCGGAGCAAACAGGAGCTCATCAACAATAAATGGACCTTTCACAATTAATGATTAATCCAGATAGAGGAGACATTCCTCAGGAGTGGCTACCACGTACCCCCACATACACCAGATCCATTCAGATAAGGGTAGTCTGAACCTCCACCCAAATGGGATGAAAAAAAAAATCTCACAAAACCTCATTATTACCTACCCTGCTCTGCACACAAGTATCTCTTAATTATTGTGAAGAAATTTAAAAAACTTAATTATTTAGGGCACAGAGGCAAGAATAATGCTAACACGCCTAAGAATGAAAAACATGGTATAATAATGAAAGCAACTAAGTTTATGTGTTTTTCAAATTAAAAAATGTAAAACTGAACTTGTCTTCCCTTCGCTTTCAATATTTAAAAAAAGGTAAAAAGTTTACAAATAAAACTGCAAAAACAGCCTTGACATCAAGCAAATGAGAATAACATCCCTTCAAAGTACTTCTGTTTACAGATACCACCAGTTGGACCACGTTTGTTTACGTGACTAACACGACTCTTAATATGAACTCCAAGAATTTTGTAACTCAAACTATTTACAACTATTGAAGAAAACAAATTTGGCTAGTGTATTATCTTTGATGCTAGTAACATTACTTATGGAATGTATGCCACTACATGAGAAAAATTTTCTATTGCCTCTTTAAAATCTGCAATTACATAATTTTTTTTTCTGAAATCCCAATAATGTATTGGAGAACAGACATAATGGACTTTACTGTTATCTAGATTGACATTTTATATTTTTTCCTTATAAAAACAAAAATAAAATATGATTTCCATAAAAATTTCGCTGTTTAGCCTCCTTGTTATAAGCTGTTCAGCTCTCATATTAAGGACTTACACCAGATAATCTGTAGGGTTGATTCTTATTCTACATTTGGGATTATGCCTTTATTGTCAGGTGGGTGAAGCCATCTCCTTGTCCTCTAGCCTTCCTTTTCTGAACTCCCCACCCTCACTCGCTCCCACCAAGTTTAGTGGCAGTTTCCTTAGATTGTTAATTCACTTCTCCTCACCTACAATCATAAAAACAGGTAACAGATTAAAATATTTCCTCGTGCAGGATATTTGTAAGTTAATTGAGAATATTTAAAATACAAGGTAAATGCCTGAAGCTTTAACAGACTTTCAGTTGAGGAGGTTCAGACAGGCTACTCTCAAAGATAGCATCTTGGCCTATGGAATTTTTTAAACTGAAGAAATTTGAGAAACAACATGTGCAGAAAGGACTTTCTGTCTTTCCCCGAATCAGGTTATAAAACCTGCACTGAGAAGTGCCCTCCCTATCCCAGAGAAAATCTCACAAGAGTTCTATTTGCATAAATTATTTTAATTACTTTAATAATAGCCTTTAAAATGAAAATAAGGTACTACACTATGATGCTATGTTGTTTGATAATTTTATAAAAAACTATGACTAAAGATTCAACCAAAAGAAACATAAGCTAAAAAACTGAAGGTATTTTAAGCCTTTGAAGTAACAAATAAGAAGAACTTATAGACCAGGGGTCCCTGACCAGTCAAATGGAAATTAATGCTTGTTTGGGAGTCAATGCACTCACCTACTCTGCTAAGAAACTTCCAGTATCCCCGAAGCCTGAACAATCAGGGACATGAACATTTATATTCTCACCATACTCAGGGACCTCACAGTTTAGGGAAAATAGAAAGTAGTAACTTTTTACAAAGAGGTAGGGATATATCATTTGATTTAGTGGCCTCTCAAATTGTATTTTCAGTAATCAAAGACTCTACGAATTGCTTCAGAAGTTCTGCAAATGTATGGTTTTAATTTCATTTTAAAACTGTGATTAAAAATATGCACATGAAAATTTATATGGCAATTTTAGCATATGAGAAAATCTACTAACCTGCTAACCCTCACATATTATCCTCATTTGTAGTTAGGAAATGCTATGAATGTTAACTTATGAAGAATCCTATATAATAAAAGCCTAATATGCTAAGTGTCTGGTCATTCGTTCAACCAATCAAAGCGTAATATGCTAATGATATGCTAAGGCTGCTCAACTGCTTGCTATGACTTGCACTGACCACTAGGGGGGAGACAGTTGACTGGTCGACCAGTTGCTATGACGTGCACTGACCACCAGGGGCAGACGCTCCAACTGGTAGGTTAGCTTGCTGCTGGGGTCCTGACGATAGGGACTGAGTGAGACGGCTGGACATGCCCTGGAGCCCTCACCATCCCTCCCTGGCTGGCCAACCTCCTGCATCCCTCCCAAGCCCCGATCATGCACCAAGCCTCTAGTATTAATTATAAAAGTCTTCATTTATATTTTATATATTGAGTTTCAAAGAAAAACTTTATTTTAAAAGGGAGTAGCTCTGTTCAAAAACAAATTTGAAAATCTAATAGATGATGAAAAAATTAGGATAAAGATTGAACTGTTACTATTTTGTACTCATTTATACTTTAATGCCAAGCAAAATTACCAGAAATTATGGTACATTTAATGTCAGTGAAAAATATGTTCTCTATAAGTCAATATTTTGAAGATTATAATAAATTTAATGATGAGCTCTGGCAAACCCTCTCTAGCCTACGAGTTAGACCAGGTAAATACTTCTCATCTTTGCTGAAATTTTAGCCAGAGTAGGAAGGATTCAAATCCCCCAAGAACAATACACACTAGAGAAACACAAAAACTAATAAAATATCCCAACATTCTGGTTTTGTTTGGAAAGCATTTTCGGGCCTCTGGTATGTAATATTATCTTATAAAACATTATGCAACTCTACTATGGCATCCAGCTTGAGAGTTACTTAGCTATTTGAATTCAGAGGAATCCCAGATATGTTCATTGTTTTTACCACATGCCCTGTAAATGTAAAAGAATCAATATGAATAAGGCAGGACCACCCTCCAAAACCGCATGTACAAAGGATACTCTTCGCTATTCCGGATGTCAACCACCAGGAGCTTCGGTTTACTGGACTTGGTCTTCTTGGTGGGTGTTTTGAAGTGGCCTGTCACTGTGAGCTCACACAAGTCAATCAGGTCCTCTGCTGAAATCCGGGGAGAAACTTCTGACTTTAGGTCATTTAATGGGATGGATTCTCTTGACTGAAAGAAACATACAAATAACACAAATATTGAGAATATTATAGAGGCAAAGTGTAGCCAGTAAAAATATCTTCAGGCTCTTGATATCAATCACTATAAGCACACAGGAGAACAAGAAACAATCTCCCAGTCTACTGTGTAACCATGTTACTATTGCGGCTTACACTTTTATTAGTCACAGATATAGGAAAACATTACACTTTTGACTACTACCAAGCTCCTGGTTCAAATGTGAAAGAGATGAGGAAGATTTTTCCTTATGAGAGCACTGTGTATCTTTAAAAGCAGTTGTTTTTTCTCTAGTTGGTTTGGCACAGTGGCTAAAGTGTCAGCCCATGGACTGAAGGGTCCTGGGTTTGATTCTGATAAAGGGCTGAAGGGTTCTGGGTTTGATTCTGGTAAAAGGCATGTACCCTGGTTGCAGGCTCAATCCAAGCCCTGGTTAGGGCATGTGCGGGAGGCAACCAATCGATGTGTCTCTCTCACATCTATGTTTTTCTCTCTGTCTCTCCCCATTCCTTCCACTCTCTCTAAAAGTCAATGGAAAAATATCCTCAGGTGAGGATTAACAAAAAAATAAAAATAAAAAGCATCTTAAAAAAATAATTTGAGCAATTTCTTGATGTAGAAACAAAATTCTAGAGGTAGGTTGGGCTTCAGGAATAGTCCAGTGCTTTGGGACCGTTTTACAGTACGCTCAGATTTGCCCTTCTCCATGTTGGTGTGATCTTTAGACTGGCTTCTTAAAAAGCAATTACAAAAATAAAAAGGGGGAGGAGGATGTTTATGTGTTAAATTTTTTGAATTATGATGCAGAGTGTTGTACAGCGGCTGAAATGCTTTGGTCTTCCAGTGCAAAAGCCTTCGCCGAGTTAGCCTGGTGGAAGGATGCACAAACCAGACAAGAGTTTTACCAAATCCAATAATGATGTGGGGAAGAGGTTGTGTTTTGTATCTTTCCAGAAGGAGCAATGCAGCCAGAGCGTTATGTGTGTCACCACAATGGACCCAGAGAAGCTCCTTGTCCCTTTGTTCAAAAGACTGAGAGTTGCCCCAATGATAGCAATGTGGAAGAAGAAGAAAAGGAAGGCTATGCAAGGGGCCAAGGTGCCAACATGGGGTCAGCTGAAGAAGTTAATGACTGAAGCCCAGCAGATGGTAGAAAAGCAAGAAGTGGAAGCTACTCCCTCAACCATGTTTCTGGCTATGCTAGCATTGGTTAGCTGCTAGTCTTCTGTAAAGTCTTGTGCAGCCAAGTCCAAGGACTCTGAGTAAATATACACCAGCAGCAAAAGAAACTTTCATTTTGTAGCTAAAAAATGTTAACATGTCTGTAGTTTGATTTCTCTCTTATTGCTGTGTTGCATTGGCATTGTTTTGTTATTGTTTTAATAGCCAGAGTTTTGATCTTGATGTTCAAGTTTTACTTTTATGTTTATTGCAGTAGCTTAAAAACAAAAAAGGGGGAAATGTAGGAAGCGGCTCTAGGGTCAAGCCTCGAACTGACCTGTGGCAGGGCCACAAATAAGTCCCAGCTTGGAGGGCAGAGCCCTCCTAGCATAATTAAGTTTGACCTTATAGTCCTCCTTAGTTCCTTCCTAGATAGCTAATGGACTGTGGGAGGTGCAGCAAGTGCTGCCAAAACAAGGTGAAACTCACATGAACATTGTAAACATGTTGACCACTACCCTTGTTTTGCTTTGTGTGCTGACTATAAAATAAAGACTCGGCTTGCAGGCCATGGCACTGTCTCTCCATCAGAGAAGCAGCATCCCACCGAGCCCCAGCTGTATTCTCTTGTCTGTCTTCTTTAATCCTTCATTGCTCATCAAACATGCCCGTGCTGGACATAGCACAGTATATTCTTTCATTTTTTTGTAAATTCCTCTGAGATATCATCTCACACCTGCCAGAATGTCTACCATCAATAAATCAACAAACAAGTGCTGAAAAAGATGTGGAGAAAAGGGAACCCTAGTATACTGCTAGTGGGAATGCAGATTGGTGCAGCCATTATGGGATTTTTTTTTTTTTGAGAGTGGAATTTACTAAAAAATAAATAAATAAAAAATGGAACAACCATTTGGCCCAGCAATCCCACTTCTAGGAATATATCCTAAGAAGCCCAAAACATGAATCAGAAATAATATATGGACCCCTATGTTCATAGCAACATTATTTACAATAGCTAAAATCTGGAAATAGCCCAAGTGCCTAGCAGTAGATGAGTAGATAAAAAAGGTGTGGTACATTTATACAATGGAGTACTATGTAGCTTTAAAAAAGAAGAATTTCTTATCCTTTGCAATAGCATGGATGGACCTGGAGAGTATTATGTTGAGTGAAATAAGTAAGTCAGAGAAAGACAAATATCACATGATTTCACTTGTAAGTGGAATCTAATGAACATAATGAACTGACGAACAAAAAGGGACCAGAGACATGGAGGTATGGAACAGACTGACATATCTCAGGTAGGGGAAGGGTGGATAATAGAGGGGATGGGAAGAGATTAACCTAAGAACTCAACTATAAAAGTAAAAGTGTAATATGCTAATAAGACCAGACAGCTAAACGACATTCCGGACATCCTTCCAGACGAAGCTGGGGCTGCGAGGGCCGAGCCCCTTACACGAACTTCATGCATCGGGCCTCTAGTATACATATAAGCATAACCAATGAACACAGACAATAGTGTAGTGCAGGCCTGGGGTTGAGCAGGGGCTGGGAGGAGAGGGAAAAGGGGGGAAAATTGGAGGACATCTGTTATAATGTCAACAATAAAATTAAATAAAAAAAGTGGATTTTATCAAGATCTAGATTAAGTGATGACAGTGGAAATTGACAGCTTTGTTCTATTTATTATCTCTTTTTTCTTTCAATCTTTCTCTTTTCACTACTTTTCCTTGGCTTACAAATATACCCAATATTTTCCCACCCACAGTGGAAAATAAATTAAAACACTATAGCAAATAAGAAAATTACTTTCCAAGTGGTGGGTTTTCCTCCAGCTACTAACCCTCTACCTTCTCATCTTTAGTTTGTTTTTTTCCCATCCACTCCTGAATCACTGCAACTTGGTTTCTGTCATGATACAGAATAAGGAGTGGACCACTGACAGGGGAAAGGAAGAACGACACATGAAAGGCACTATAAGAAAACAGATGGAAGATAAAGGGTAGGGTTGAGTAAATAATGGTTTTTATGTTCTGAATATGGATAACTGGGGGGAAAAAAAGATAGTAACAGTGACAGACAGTAGATAAGGGGATGACAAGTTCAGATTTAGATATGTAAAACTGAGGTTGCATAAGTTCTACCAAGCTGAAGTGTTGAGAATGCATTTAGAGACAGAAACTGGTGTTTGGGGGAAGTCATGACTAGAGGATCATATTTTTGGAATTATAAGCATAGAAATTGAAGTTTAAGTCATGAGAAAGAGTAAACAATTTGAAGAAAAATGAAAAAAGGCAGGAAGAAATCCCAAATTTAGCAGGTACATCTATACAGTCTGCTGAGAAAAATCTTAAATTACGCAAACTATTAACAAGAATTGGAAACACATAAAGTTGAGATTTTTTAGGGAAATATCCATCAATTTTTATTTTTCCACATGTCTATAATAAATAGACTCTTCTTTCTTAGTGCTATATATTTCAAGCTCATGCATGAGACAGGCTTTTGTGAATGGCACAGACATTAACTATCATCTCAAAGGAATTTTAACAATGAAAAACTATCTTCAGAAACTATCAATCTACAAGGATCTATTTATCCATATACTTAAAACAATAAATTGCTTCAGTGGCATGTTGGTATTTTTATTTCTCCCTCTTGGTTTTAGAGAAAACAGGGGGAGCCTGCTATTTCTATTACAGACATATCGCATCTGAAATGGAGTTTGAAATAAAACCGTCATGCTCTGGAAGCTGCATAATGTAGTTCTCACACTAGAGAGATATTTCTCTCCCTCAAATAAAAGAGAGATCATGTACATGAATATGAAACCCAAAGAACAATGGACATAAACGTTTTTTTCAGTGATTATGAATTTATGTTAAAATTTTCACAGATGTGCCCCTGAAAAATTATGTGTAAGCTAAATTTCTGTAAGGAGAGTAATTTCCCCTTTGATATATAATAACATTTTAGAGCTATTTCATCTCTCTAGTCCTCAATTATTTCATGTATAAAAGGAAGGGACCCGGGTAGGTATCTTATATCTTATACTTTAGCTATAGAATTCTATGACTTTATTTCTGATTGATTCTTCAATTAGCAACAGGTACAAAAATGCCTGCTTACTTCCTGGGACAAAAGTTGGAAACCTGTACATAATACTTAACATCAGCAGAGGAGTTTCTATTAAAGGGATTCAGGAGCGATTCAAATTGTGAAGCTTAGCAAAGTGTTGTTCAAAAAGCATAACATGCTTATATAAACATATACTAATAAGAACTTATGCATTTCAACACAAGTAGCTGGCAAATATTTCATAGTTTAAATTGGTTGAAGTGAGGGCAGAAGAGATGGAGGTTACAGTAAGTGAACACTCTCGCATAAGTGATTTCTGGGGCAAAAAGGGGGTCAATGTGGCAATGTATGGCAGGAGTGGTGGTGAATGCTACTGTGTATGTTTCTGTAAGTTTCTGGAAATAATTTTCAAAATAAGACCAGAACCTGATACATTTTATAGGCTGAAATAAACATGATTAAAAAGCTAAACATGACAGCAGCTCCACTCAGCTGAACTCTTAAAAGTGGAATTGTGATACTTCCTTCAGGAATGTCAGAGAACTGCGATTCCACATAGAATGTTATGATCAGCTTTCAGAGGCAGCAGAGATTCAGGGTACAGCCAGCTGGTGGCTTAGAGGTCACAGTATTTTAGTTAGTCTCACTGACATTTTCATCCCAAACTCTAACTTTCCAAGGTACAGTCTTTAGTTGAATTGGGGTGTTTACTCTCTCACTGCTACCCTTTTCCTAGTAGTGATAAG